GACATTGACTAGCCCAATGTCTTCCCTTTTTACAACGAGGACAGACCGTATTAGGCATATTGTCAGGGGGAGAGGGGTCCCTCCTACTTTCTAGGTTTCAGTACAATTTTTTGCAAAATGCCCAGGTTGTCCGCACTTAAAACATTTTTTAGGGAGGGTGGGCCCTCTAGTTGTCTGAAGAGCAGCACCAATTGCCAAATTTATGCCTTGAGTAATCTTATGAGAAAAGGAGTCTACGTCAGCACAAAGTCTGATTAATTCATTCAAGGACTTATTTTTGGCTTGTCCCTTAAGGACAGATTTGCAAGCAGAATTAGCATTTTCACAAGCAAGTTGTTTAATGAACTTGTCATTGTCATCTTCAGGACCCAAAACTCTTTCAGCTACCTCTTGTAACCTGCCCACAAACTCACTAAAGGGTTCTTGAGAGCCTTGAACTATTTTAGTTAGGGGTGTCATGAGGCTGCCTTTTGCTGGGATGTTTCTCCACGCCCCCAGTGCAGCCTCCTTGGTCTGCGCTAAAACCCCTGTGGGTAATTTAAGCTGTCAGTCCTTGGTGATATATTTTCCTTGTCCAGCAAGCTTATCAAAAGTCCAGGTGGCTTTGGGGGCCCGAGGGTCCCGTTGGTTTCTGCTGGCTATAGTCTGACAGCGATCAAGGTAGTCAGCTTTCCAGGATAAGAATTGTCCATGAGAGAGGACCGTCTGAGCCACCCGAAGCCATTCTCCTGGTGTAAAGTACCCGCCACCGGACAGGGTCTCAAGCATGGATACAGTAAATGGGGCGTTGGGGCCATAGTTCTTAACTGCATTATTTAATTCTTTAAGAGGTTTAAACTTGAGGCGCTTATATTCAATATCTGAGAATATAGTAGAGCGCCTACTATGCCCTGAAGGGGTGGGAGCAGGAACCTGCTCCGGAACAGCCTCACCCTCTTCTTGTGCCTCTCCCCTTTCCTCATTATCAGAGTCTCTAGGCTCTTCTTTGTCACTACCTAATTCTTCTTCAGAGGACAGGACTTCTCTGGCCGCCTGCCTAGTGATTACAGGGAAGGCAAGGGCCCTAGTTTTGGCAGACTTGAACTTAGTCTTTCCTGCAGCTTGTGGCAAAGGAGCCGCAAAAACAGTTCTAGTAACAGCCTTTTGTAGGGAAGAGAGCTCTGAGTTGAGCTCTGCAAACTCTTTTTGCAAAGAAAGAACATCTCTTAAAGCTATAACTTGTTTACTTAGGTCATTTTTAGCTTTTAGAAGGATATCTGTATGGGCAGCAGTTATGGGAAAAATGGATGCACAGAGGGTCGGTGGGTATGGAGGTAGGGGAGGTGCAGAAGCAACAAGAGGGGGCCAGTCAGGATTATGATATCGGGTGGCCTCTTCCTCTAAGTCACTCTCCTCAGAGGGGGTTAATCCTTCAGGAGGGGAACCTTGTTTCTGAAATATTGGGAAGGTTAAGTTGGAAGAAGGTTTTTCTTTTCTCTCTACCTTGGGCAATGTTGGATAAAGCTGGGTTGGCCCGCCTGTAGCGGTTGGCTTCGAGGGAGGCATATCAATCACGACTGATGGGCAAGGCGAGGTCTGCTCCTGATGAGCGACACCCTGAGTTACCTTTTGAAGGTTTGTCTTATTAATGGATGACACAGAGGCAGACCGAGAAAGGGGCTTAATGAAATCCTCAGCTAGGGAAATAATTTTACTTTTGTTTTCAGGAGAGTCTTTGAGAAGATCTCGGACTAATGTCCAATAGCTGAAAGTCTGAATGGGAACTGCCTCAGAGCCTTTATCCTTTAATAGTTCATTTAAACACTGTCCCACTCGGTCCCATTTTTTAGGGTTGATTTCAGGACCATCTATAACAAACCAAGGACACTGGTCACTCACAAACACGAAAAAATTTACAAGATCTTTTTTCTTAACTC